CTGCCGGCAGACCCTGAAAATATATGCCTACCAAAAATGCACTACTATTTACATTATTTTTACTAGCTAAAATATACTCTTCTACTATAATATATAGTTCCATCTTACCTTCTTGCATATTGGTCCATCCACATTTGTGCTCAGAGTGAACACTACTTTATAATCATCAGAAAAGTGACTTCAGTTCCAGGTACTACAGTGTGGCTTGTTGAAAGTCAAACCCAAAACATTGACCAGGAGTGCCTTTCACTGAACAAAGAAATCCTATTCTGTTTCCAAGGGGGATAAAAGGACAAGCCTAACCCTGGTAACCTTAACACAAAAGGAAGCTAAAAAGGCAGGGACTCGATAAGAACAAAGGATTGTTCTTTCTGATGACATCAATACGTATTAAACACGATGTGTTACACATCCTTCTATCAATATCTGAGATGATAAATTTGCAAATTAATACTACATCGGCCATAACTGCATAAAATTACAATAGCACCCTCTTTAGAAGAGATTTTGATTTATATCATGGTAGTCACTTGTGTGTGTTTAATGTTTCTGAAATTAAAGGAGGAGATGAGCCACTGTGAGCAGGCAGAATACAACGTACAAGAAATAATTACGCTGGCGACCTCATGCCCTGTAAGGTCACTCTGCCTCACAGGCCAAAGGAAATCAGGACCCATCAGCATTTACCTCAGAGCAGTCACTGCCTGGAAGGAAGGGCAAGTGTGGGTGTATTTCATAAACTAGCAGGTGCTTGACCTCATAAAAAAGTCAATTATCAAAATGCTACTTGTACATTGTCACAAATAAGAAATACACAAAGTAGCATTATCCAGCATATCTTCTCTTGAAAATAAATCTGAGAAACATAAAATGTTTTACCTTCCTCCGGATTATAACACAACAGCACAAACAGCGTTAATCCTTCCTTATTGGGAAAAATTAATAGAATTTTTAAGTGTTTTATAACATAAAAGGGATTATAAATACATGCTGAACAGTGATAATTCAGAAAATACTTAGAACATTTATGTATCGCTTTACAAGAATGTATGTACTATTTATCAATCCAGTCCTGTTACTATTAGGGCAAGAATCACCATGCACTCCTCCTCAAATTTCCGATCAGAAATCAGGCATTCAAAGCATACACACTGACTGAATTTGTAAGGGACAGAATTTTCTCAACAGGTTCAAGGACAGCGCTCCATTCCCTGGAACAAAATTCTTAGTATCATTTTCAATCAAGACTTGGCTTTCGTGAAAACTTGTGAACTGGCTTTTCAGTTAAGGCGGACTATTGCTCCTTTCCTCCCCAGTGATTTCTGGTCTACTTCCAGAATCCCTGGGCAATATAAATTAAGGTTAATTCTAGCGCAGTGACAATAAGGAGAATAAGACGATGGAATCTGGTACATGAAAGGGAAGGGGACAGCCAGCCATCGTTCGCTTCGTGTGTTATGCTCTGTCCTGGAAGCTGTACGAAGCATCTCCTTCAGTGTTCTCAACAGTCCCGAGAAGTGCAGCTGGCTGCTGGCCCACTGCTTTCCTCACGTCCTCAGACAAACCCGCAAAAGGCTTCAGCCGCATAATGTACCTAAAACTCCAGAAGACCCCAGTCATGAAGACCAGCTGACTTGTCATCTCAGGCCCAGCTCAGTCACTCACACCTGGGAAGTCAGAGGAAGGTGCCGCCCCCTTTAACTCGCAGGCTCCTCACCTCTAAGGTGAAGGGGGATCACAGTCCATCAGCCCAGTACAACATTCTGCTCTTTGGGCAAAAGCATTTTCCGAGTTTCAAATAACCAACAGAGGGACTCTTAGATCAAGCTCAGCTATAAGTTAGGAGCTGCCAATATTGCTAAGGCAATTACTGAATATTTTTAAGGGTTTGGGGTGATTAAATTATAAGAAAATATCTGATGAGTTCGTGTATCTACCAGGTACATTGCTGAATACTTTACCTCCTTTAGTGATTAAGAAGATTCCTACTCTAGAATTAAGTTTTAAGTTTCTAAAAGATTGCTTCATGCTGCAACTCACTACAGCAATCACCTGCTCCAACGTCCACGCCACCGGCAGGTGTGGGCTGCCCGCCAGCTGGCTCTGTAACCTTTCGATCCCCTCAGCCAGCAAATCTGTTCAGCAGCCCTGGGTGGCCGGCCCTCGCTTGCCGCGTGCTCTCTTCTCCTCTCACCCATTCAGAGGCCCTACTCCGTTGGCCTGACACCCTTTTATTAAAATAGAAAACTCCCAGCAAAGCCAATTAAAACTAATTTTACACTCAGTCAGTGTGAAAGTTCCAGACTAGATTAATTTAGTATAGCAAGAGCTGTTAGTGTGAGATGTTTCAGTTTCAGGTAGAATGTGTTTATTCTTTTGCTAATAAATATAATTCCAGTAAGTGATAACATTAAAATTTTAAGTGAGCCAGCATTCAGTTAATTTATAAAGTACTCCAGGATACTATACCTAGAACTTTAATTTACATGAATGGAAAGGCTTAAACTTGAACAAAAGCTACCTAGTTTATGCTTATTTAAACAATGATGAGAACCATTAAGAGTGATTTTTTACAGTTATTTTTCTGCTCCATTTTGTTGTCATTTTTAATATAGCTGAAAATTTAATGTGGCTGAAAATGAAACTGAAAGCAGAATTAGTTCAGCCAAATATCTACTCGTTCCTCCGCCCCCAACTCCATTTAAAATCTAAGGATGTTGGAGGAAACAAGAGAGAATAAATAGTGGTTAAGATAATGAGTTTTGCAGTCTGACAGTCACTTAGTAACAAAGGGACCTTCAGAAAAGGCTTTCCTCTCTCTTGGCCTCAATTAACTCATTTGCGGGGGGAGGGGAAGTGAGGGTGGGAGCGCCAATACTGCCCCGTAACAGGTTTGCAGCAACAGTTTAATGAAATAATACAAACCAAGTACTTAGCAAAAGCCGGACAGAGAAAGTGTTCAATTGATGGCGGGTCTTGTCATTCTTTCGCTTGTCCTCTCTGGACCCTCTAACAGACGTCTCACCTAACAACATGGACATGCTTATCACTGCCTCAGGGAGTGATCTGTGATCATATCATGACTTCACATTGTACCTAATTCATTCCTGTCTTTCCAAGAAAAAAATACATTTAGGTCTGGGTCCCCTGTTCCCTTCCGTAACTTCCTTCCAGCTACTTATTCTACCTGAATCCATTCTCCCACTCTACACTAGTCCATTCTAAATAAAGGTGTCTTTAAAATAGTTCTCAGTATTTCTATAACCATGTTCACCTTTTAAGAGACTCTCTAGTGATTTTCTATATAGTTTCAGCTTCAGTCTACTTACTCTATAGAACTATATTAATGGTTTGTCTATAAGATGGGTAATCTATTATTCAATAAGGTTTATGATTAGCTGATGAGATAATTATATCTTCTGGAAGATTATAAAATTAATGCCACAAGTTACTGAGTATAGGGCACTGTACCAAACTATGCAAATATGTGAAAGCAGGGGGCTTTTTACAGTCCATATGATTTTTTAAAACTTTTAAAAATATCTGACAAAATTTTAAACCTATAAATATTTATATAAGAACTTTAAATCGGATAACTTACATAGAGTCTATGTCTAATAACCCTGGATTTTTAACTTAATTTCCTTTTATTAAAATGGAAAAATTCCCAGTAAGCAAATAAACAATATTCTCTCAGCAAATAGTCTTATCTAGACAGATTAAAGAATTTTAACTGAAGTTGTTAATTTGTGATGTTTGGTTACATGTGTAATATATATTTGCATTTAAATATTATGAATATATTTATGGAACAATTACATAGTGTTTACCATGGCCTATGCATGGTTCCATGTGTTTAATATAACTCATCCCATTTTCAGAAGGACCCTGTAAAGTCTCAGTATCTTCATTTCTTCTGTGACAAAACTGAGGCTGAGGAAGGTTAAGTGTCCAGGGTCACAAATCTAATTAAACAACCTCTACAATCACCACTGACAAACACCTGGTAGAGTTATACCAGTAATAACAATTGTAATCCTGTTTGATTCTGGTTTTCATTTCCTTCTTATACAATCCTGTATTGCCTCTCTTGACATGTGTAATGAGAATTTCATTGACAACAATACTTGATATTGGCAAAGGTCATTTAAAATGAATCCACCTATAACCCAAGCCACATTTCCACAACAAAAAATTTTGGTAAAGTTTCATTGAGACTTTTTCTTAAAAAAAAGGAAAACTGATTTATTTTCTCTTATACTCATAACAGATTAAAATTTTAATCTGAATCCTCCTTTAGGAAAATAAAGAATGAATCAAATGTTGAACTGGGATGAAGCATTCTTTTTCCAAAAAGAAAAAATCATGAGAGCACAAATAAAACTTTTCTTCAGTGCACATTTGACCTAGGAGCATGATTACAAAGGTTTTATTTTGCAAAAATATTAAAAAATTTCAACAATTTTTCCTAAGGCCTTTCCTAATCCCTTCAAATCATAGTTATTTGAAAAATGTCAATTATCAAACCCTCTGATTTTCTCTTTTTCAATAGTACATTGGTCTAACTCTACCAGATCTTTATTTCTGAAGGATTCACAATTCGAACTTCAACTTGGAAAGCATGTGCCTGGTATCTGCAATTGCATTTCATCAGATCAATACCTAACAAGTTGGCACCCATGAGCATGATAATGCAATGGGGCAGAGACAGATGCTAGTGTTACACAGGGTGGGATTTTTGTTTGGGGATGAATTTTATAAGGGATCAATCAATTAGTGACTGCCTTGATATTTATATAACTTTTGCCTTTGTTTTTCTTTCCCGAGGCAAACTCCAAACCAAAGGGATTTCATAAAATGAATGAGCAGAATTTGCAGATCCTTTTTTCACTGAAGGTAAATGACTGTTGTTGACAGGTAATAGAGCAAGCATTATTCATGAGTTTTGGTTCTTTTTTAATGAGCATGGAAAGCTTTGTAGAAAAGTGTGAGGCTCTTACGCGACATGACGTGGTCCATGTACTGAGGTAAATAAGGGGCCCAGGCATCGATGGCTTCCTTCCGCCCCGCCTGCTCAATTCTTCTCAGCTCCGCCAGGAGCAGCGCCTGCGCGGCTTCTCTGACCTGGAAAGACCACAGATGCCAATGTGAAAAAAGCAGATCAGCTGGTGAGCTTTTTAATAACTAGAAAGTTTAAAAAAGAAAAGACATAAACCACATTTATTTACATGACCAAAACTACCTACCAAACAATGAATTAAGACCTAACGTGGAATGAATTGGATGTCTGTGAAATCAAAGATATTTTAATTGCTGATCTCTCGGAAAAATATTTTAACACTAATAGACTGGATTATGTTTGAACACAATCTGCTTTGGGTCTAGAACTTTATTTTCCAAAGCTTTTAAAATATTCTAGCACTTTAATTTTGTACTTCCAATTTTCAAATTTCTGTATAAAAGATAAAAGTTAAAAGTCATTGTTGGAACTATCAAATTTGTTCTCTTTTAGCATGAATAAATTTAACTTTACCTAGTGAATCTTTATAATATATATACTAAGTGGGTATTGTTTACACAAACATACATGTATAAATCTACACATTCATGTGTATCTAAGACATGCTTAAACAATTTATTTTCAACGAATAAGCAAATATATTCCAATGTAATGGCATTAGTTTTATAGGATGACACTGGTTTTCAAAAATAGTATTTTCTGATTTTTTTCTTCCTTTTCTCTCATAACAACTTTTATTTTGCAGTTTTAGTTTAGTTGTTTTATTTTGGCAGAAGTGCCACAGGCATGGGGTTAAGGAAACTTAGTCAATTGTCAAGTGATGTACCAACCAATTAACTATTTATAATTGAAAAGATAGCAACATCTGATAAGAATTTGAATGAAAACTGTTTTTAATTATAACTGACTTACGAAGTAAATTCAAATATTATTCAATGTAAAACCAAGTATGCTACAATTTCCCTTGGAGCTGAGGAAAGGAAGACAAGGAAAGGGGCCAATATGTTAATTATATTTGGTAAATTAAAAACTTTTAATAATATAAACCACTACAGCTATATAGGTCAAGTGCCATAATAAGGAAAATCTCTTTAAAATGTTTCCAAGTCCCTGGCAATATTATATTCCAAGCGATGTCTAATATAGCATAAGTCCATTAACACAGAATCACAGCTCTCATTTACTGAGCTCCTCCAATGTGTCAGACTCTGCACTAACTGCTTTACTTGCATTACCTTATTTGACCCTGACAGCAATCCCGGGAGGAATATATTATTATCCCCACTTTACAAATGAGCTCCAAATAGGTTAAGTAAATTGCCCAGGGTCACAAAGTTAATAATTGGCAGAACTGATATTTAAATTCAGGTCTCTTCTATTCCAAAGACCGTCTCCTTTTATTATCACACAGGACCTTCCATCGGACCAGGGCGATCCACTTAGAATTTGACTGGGGAGATTATACCTGAGCGTGCAATTTGGGGGAAGGTAGGTATATGCGTGTGTGTGAATGCACGTGTGCAAGAGTAAAACACAGTTCCGTAAAGTGTGTGAGACTGTCTTTTAATCAAATACTCACTGGTTAAGAATAAACAAACAAACATGCAAGCAGTTTAGTATATAAACTGGAAAAAATCATGAATCTGTATTTTCTACCACATAATAAACAGGAGATAAAAAATTAAACATTAACCATTTTTGTTGCAAATGGACACTAGTCCAATGCCTGTTTAGCGTGTTTGTGTTCTATCCACATGGCCTGACGTTACCTCCAAGCACCGGTCTTGCCACCTCCGAGCGAGCATCTCCAGAAGCGGGGGCCTGAATTTGTCCAGTCCTAGCAGGTCTGGCAGCATAACACAGTGCATAGCAGCCAGCTGACTCCATCCTTTTAAAATGGAATGTATTGAAAAGACTTTTAACATTTTGGCATTTCCCAATTCAAAATTTTTTCTTTACGTTAGTAAACCAGGAACATAAAAAAGGTAGGTCTGCTAAATTGTTCTAAATTATTTCAATTTATTACTAGACTTTTTTTGTACATAATCTAATATCAAACGTATTTCATCTCTAAATCATGTAAGTGGTACTTATAAGAACTCTCGAAGTCCAAAAGTAAATAAAAATAGATTTCTGCACGAAGTATATACGAATTCTACATGGAAAAGACATTTCTAAATAGTTCTTCTAGAATAAAACATATATTCAGAAGTGGGAAGGCACAGACATAAAGAAATATTAGTGCCACAGACTTGAAACTACTTTCAGTTTTGGCTCACACAGGGAGCCAAAAACGGGGTCGTGTCCATCCTAAGGCCTGGCCATCTGTGCGTTGCCACTGTGTCCATCAACAGAGATGACTTCCCTTCTCTGTCAGAGGGCCTTTTACTGAGGTACTTATTGATCCCTTTTCTTAGAAAGCAAATCAGATATTTAATCACAATCATAGCTGGAATAAGGAACATAGCACTCATTTTGACAGGAAAATGAATTCAGACACTCCACAAAATAAAAACCTTACCATCCAAAACTTACAAAATCTTAAGCATCATTAACCTATGGTAATAAAAGTTTGTTTTTTTTTTCAAAATTCTAATCTACAATATGGAACCTGATGGTATGAGAAAACAAACACTGTAAACTGCAATATTTAAAGATGCTCGTATCCAGACATTCTCAAATAATCATGCCAACCCTGTCTTAAAGGTGCCTGAAAAATATATACACAATAAATGCCTTGTTCTTCCCAGATTACAAATAAAACCACTATACATCCATAATAATTACCATTATCTCCTGGGATAACATTTAAGGACAAATAAGAATAAATGCAAAACTATAACCTGTTTACTACCATATTACAAGGTGAGTTACCTGTGAGCATAGAATTTCAGCAAAACAATATTTTAAAATAATCTAAACTGTAGTGTTCTGAGACAACAACAAAAACCCTACGTCAAAATGATTATTGGGATCGTTAAAAAAGAGAGCGAATGAGTGGGAGACCAACCACCCACTTGAAGATTCATCCTTTCAGTAAGAAAATCCTCTTAAATGGAGAATTTAGAATTACATTAATTAAGGTGATGAGTATGAACTTTTTAGATTATAATTTATTTTCAACAGAGGGATATACATTCATACATATATAAATATAAATTACTACCTAGTAATTTCTTAAAGTGTTTTAATGTCTTATGAAAGTATGAAGTGGATTTATGAGCTAAATTTTTTTAATGGGATACATTTTACTGTGACGATTCTCACCATTTTCCAAAGTTAATAGCTTATTTTTGAATTAAAATATGACTATCTTTCACAATAGCTCAACAAAGATGATGCTAATTATTTTGCTAAAATCCAGTCTTAAGATATTAACCTTAATGCAGGTCTAGGACAGGGAAACCAAAAACAAAACGAGTCATATTTTTAAGAGCTCATGTTTTCTTTTTGAAGGAGTGCTACTTAGAACATGGGCTCTGTACTTTATAGACACTGTCCCACTCTTTCTATTTGAATGGACCAGAAATATTGCCTATTAGTGAAGAGTCAGATTCAGTCTGGGTAACGTTTGAGATTTTATACATTTCCTTCTCTTTATATTATACAAACTGGTGAAGATTGAGCCCATGACGAAGACAGTGGATATAACCAAGAGCTCACAGGTTCCATTAAGTTTCCAGTTGGTATAAATAATCCTAGAAGGCTCTAGGGGTATAAAAGCTTGTGGATTCCATTCACATTATCCAAAGTCCAAAGATACTTCCCACTAGTGTAACTCCACAGGGATAATAGGATAGCCCAACTACAACTTAAAAGTTAAAATGACTGAGTTTTGCTTCGACCAGAAAGAGGAGTAAGTAGAATAAAATAGGTGACTGCTATCAGTCTATAATCACTGGTGCTAATCATCATTCTGAAGACTTTCCAAATGAGAATGTGAATTAAGAGACTGTCATATTTCCCTCTAACCAGGGCACATGGTGTGTAAAGAGAGCAAAGTGCATCTCTCACAGGGTAATGATACATGTAAAATAAACCGACAGCCATAACACCAGAGATCACATGGCAAACATCATCGTGAAAGCCAGTGCACCTTTTAACACCTGCTTCACATCAAAGAACAGCATCCTGCACTTCTTTAATAGCATTCTATATTACAGGAAACATGGTTTATTCCGGCCAGGAGGAATATTATATTTTTACAACTGGCCCTTATCACTGACATTATCAAATAAAATTAGAAAATGGAATTTTACCATCTCATCTATAACAAAGCAGATAAATGTGTAAATTAGATAAAAAAGGACATGTCAAATTAGAATAAAGCATAGACTGAGAGAAAGTTGTTAGGAAGTTGAGAGAGAATACCTTCATTTACTAAGAAACAGGTATGTAAAGCAGGAGTAGAAGTGGGGTCAGAGCCAGAGCGATCAGCATCAGACCGAGCGGAAATGACAGGCGCAGGAGCTTGCAGAGGAGAAGAGGAGAAACAAAAAGAGAGAATTGAGGTGCAGCAGTTTCTGAAAAAACGCTCAGTATTAGTGAAGGGTGAAAATCAAAGGTGGCAAAATATAGTAAATGTAGAACTGAAAAATGATGTTTTAATCAGACGGGCATGATCGTTAAGGATAACAGCAGGGAAATGATATATTTTATTGAATGGCAATCACGGTATAGTTTAAATTCCACTTAAAACCAAAATCTATTTAATATTACAGCTGAAAGATGTATCAATTAATAAAACAACAGTTCTAAAAGAACTGAGGCTACAATGAAAAAGCGTCAACATATTAAAATTTAGCAGAACTGTAACTCAATTTTTAAAATGTATCACATAATGAAAAGTTTATGTTGGCTTTCATGTCAATTACATTTTTTTCTAATAATTTTCTAACATTACGTATAAATTATTTTTAATCTCTCAAACTAATACCCACTGAGATCATTTCAATTTTCCACATTCGATTTATAAAAACTCAATTTAAGAAACCCAACCTATAAAGAATATATATACTACACTTAACTTTTGTTAGAAGAATCCTAATGTAGCTTCATTCTTTGGAGTTCAAAAAATACTTTTATGATACAAAAGCTCTATATTCTAAGAGTAATTATTGTGAATGTTATAATCCTTATAAAATAGATGCATCCCCCCCGACCCCGCCAAAAAAAAGTTATGTTACCAGGAAAATGTTTCAGCTTAAATTATCATATGAAAAGGCAAAAGGACCTTATGGCACACACATTCTACAACTGGAGGTCAATGTTAAGATTTAGAGGTCACCATTTGACACTTCCTTCCTATGGAGAAATTACCATATGTCATGCACAAGCATCTTCAAATTAATCCCTCTCCTTTCTTCTGTCATTGAACAGCAATAGGTTTGGGCTCCTGAACAGATTAAGCATTGTCTGCTGAATGATATGTTTGCTTTTCATGCAGTGAAGTTCTTTTGTAACTACAGGCAGCTGCATGAAAACAACTTTTCATAATTTCCACACGAACACATCATAATGTCAATCAGGCACGTGTGCAGTAAACAGTAGAATTAAAAGAAATCCATAAACAATAATTAAAAAAACCCAGGAATTCCAATTCCATAAACCCTAAGAAGCATTTCTTGCACACATAAAAGTTTTATATGGCAAATTATTTTTTATTATAAGAGACCTGTTTTTGAACCCTCATAAAATTATAATTAATAATGTTATGCTTATAAAAAGAAGAGAGCTGCTCTTAGTTGTATATTTATAAGATCTAATAATTCCATTATAAAGTAATCTTGCAAAGAAATTCCAAATATTTCTTTATTCCACTGAATTTTATTTTTGACTTTTAAAATCATTTTTAATTATAAATTCAGTTCTTAGAGCCTATAAAATATTCACTTCCTCATGCAAAAAGGTGGTGAGCCTAGGTGGCAAGGAGCAAATTTTCAAGTTCACTCTTTCGTGCCCCCACAGCTGTTGAAAGTCTCTCTGGCGGCGTCAAGCAGCTGGGACATTTCTGTAATTTCACTTTTTGAAAAACAGAAAAATTAATATTACCCCAGAAGAGATTATTTACTCTATCTAATTTTACCCTTAATTCTAAAAGGACACTAGATGAGAGGGTGAGGAAATTTAAAATCAGTCAATGAAAGTTTCGGGCTAAGTGATCATCACTTTACCCAGGTCAAATAAGCAGCAGGATTAAACTATGCTCTTTTTTCTGTGTCACAGGTCTAAAGGAAACTAGAAATGCTACTGGCAAAGCTGCTAAAATAGTATGTCTCAATAAAACAGTGTTTAAGACAAGTAACCTTATCTGTAATGAAAGAAATAAACTGATGCTGGGTGTTATGTTTTTGGAGTCCTATTTAAATGACATTGCATATAGAAAAAGCTATTTACAAATAATAGAGCTGAAGAAGTTATGTGTACAACCGAACATCAAAGGTTGACACCATAAAACATAAGCAAGCATTTGACCTCTTCAAACAGAAAAGCTGCCACATCAACAATCAGTTTGTTTCTCTTTATGAAGGATTAGTAAAGCACAAGGGGAAACCTCTGTGCAGCTTCAATGGCGATAGAATGGACACAAGTTCTATTATTTTATTCCAGGAAAGTTCTTTTAAGTCACTTGCAGCTACGAGACTCTTCGACCGCTTACTTTCACGTGAAAAGTGGAGATAAGCAAACCTGTATGACTTCATATATCTGCACACACGTGCTCTGGCTTCCCTTTAAATGGCATATATGTGTACACAGTACTCAACATTACAATTATCTTGGTTTTCTGTTTTTGAACAGGTCTATTTCACTTTAAAGTCTGATTCTAAACTCCACTTTTCCCTGCTGCTGTTGTAATATGAAAAATATACTCGGGACAGAAACTTAACATATTTTAGGTAGCAGGTACTCTCAACATATTGGTTTAAATCTCATCCTTCTGGTACTAAACACAAACAGCCCTTATAATATATTTTTCAGAAGGAAAAAGAAGAAAATCTAGAAAGCATGGAAAAATAAATGTGATGTTTAAAGAAGTGAGCTTATCAAAGACTAAAACAAACAAAATGAGAATTATTTAATGACAAATCATGTTATCCAGACTGTGGTAAGGCAATCACAAAGCTTCTGGAGGGGCAGACAGAGGAGGAGAAAGACGCATCAGACCTGCTATCTCAGGCAGAGACCTCAGGGCGACCCCTGAGTTTCCATGAACTTTCTTTATGCTACACTGGGCTGCCTTAGGAACAGGGGCATTCTAGCTATCTTTTAAATCAACATAAAGCATGAGGATAAAGGATTAATCAACTATTCTAAGGAAAAAAGGATCTCCTTAAAAATTGCAAAAGAAGAGCACAAATATCGAAGGGCAATAGGGGAGCACAAAGTTCCAGGCAATAGAGAGGATAAGGACCTACCATGAGCAGAATGAATGAACAGCCCCAGATGGCATTCTGACAGACAGATATCAAGGCAAAATATGGAGGTGCTGATAATGCCCGAAAAATACACTAACGCTATGTAACAACCTCTAGCTCACCACGGGATTACATCAAAATTGGAAAAGGTGCAGAAGCCATGACCGTTTCACCTTGGCCTAGCGCTCCAGGCACCGAATATCCTTCATTGCTAACACCCAAAGGGCCATGGGGAGAGAAAGATAAAATTATAACATAGACACTAACTTGAATTAAACATAGGAAGGCTTTTACATTTTTCTACTTCATTTAACTAACATTTAATAAGTGCCTACTACGTGTCAGGTATTTGGCGAAGCATAGAAAAACACATAGATTAGGCAAAGAGGCTGCCCTCATGTTCTCAGAGCCTGGTATAAAAAGCAAATAGTTAGCCAACTAAAATATAATCATAAACGGCACTCCTCAGGATCTCCCTCCCTAGCCTTGATGGCAGGAATTTCTCTCTTCAGCGCTCATAGCCCAAGCACCTAGCTGTTGCCATACGGTGTCTAGAGCATAGAGAGAAAGCATCTACAGACTCACTCATTTAACAGATATTTGCTGAGCACCTTCTATGTATTGGCCACAGTTCCAAGCATTTGTTGTAAGTGAAGGAAAATGAATAAATGGCCTTGTCCTTTGAGCTTCCAAAGCAGACTAAAGTTATAAGCCTTTTAAAAAAAAAGAGAGAGAGAGAAGGTACGTAGTTCAAACAAAATTTTAAGAGGTTCTCAGGCCCATCCATTGACCTGGTATATGTAGCTTCCGGGTTTCTGGGTTTTTGTTCTAGACTTTACTTACAAAAGAATGGTGAGAAACTGCTGGTTAACTTACGTTAATGATTTCTAAGACAGTTTAACAATGACTGCTGCCTATATCTAAGTTTAGACAACCTAAATTGAATCCACTTCTGAAAAATAAAATTGCAAATAATGTAACATAACCTTAAATCTTTAAATCACTTAGACTGGCTTCCATACCTACCACTGAGTAACAATGCAGCTGCCAACAAAGATGTGGTCACAGTCAAGATAAGCAAGAGAGACACAGACCAAAGACTTGTACCATGTGATCAGTGGATTGATCAAGAGAAGTGCATTGTGTCAGGATGTAAAAAAAAGCCTAAAGCTTTGTGCAGATTTAGGGTTATTAGATCAAAAACAAAAATTTAGTTGTCTGACATCTCACTTGGACCTCTTTTCTAAGTGAGATGTTTTATAAACTACAAAATCAAGTGTCTAATAAATAAAAACTGTCCCTACCAAAAAAATACATGACTGTACAAAAAGTAAATGTTAATTGGCAAACACTGAATTAATAAACCAACTATTAGACAAAATAAACATCTTGTGAGGAAATGATTTTCCAATATAACATCCTGATACTGATTGTGAGAAAGTATGTTAACTAAACTATCTATATCTTCTTTATTCTCTGGCCCAAATGTCTATGAAATGTCCACTCCCCCACTGAAGTCTCTACTCCATATAGACTGTTTTGCAGCTGAACAAGTATTAGCCAACATATAAGTGACAGTTTATTGAAAAGGAGCACATTCATGCTTGCAGTCCAAGTTGAAAAACAGATTGTGAGCCAATGTGCACTGCAGTGGGAGTCACGAAAAGAAAACAAGGAAAGAGGGAAATGTTCAAAAGAAACCCAAGGTAAGAAAAGTTGTAGTAGATGAGAATATATAATCCTCTAACTGTTGAACTGTGGTCAGAGAACTGAGCTTTTGTCTGTATCTCTTACCCCTTGTTACCCTAAATTGGTTATTTTTATCTACGTACTATCTACTAGATGTATATAAACTTCTCAAGAAAATATAAATCAGACTAATCTTTCTAACATCCCCAATTTTTGTACTTAACAAAAATTATAAAGGAGATCACTGTGCCATATTTTCATTTGCTACTCCAATAGAAAGTGGGATTCACGGTGCCACCCTACAGGAATTTACTATGGAACTCGGCCCCGATCTCCGACCTTCAATTACTTTAGAGCCAAGCATCTGTGCTGTTCCAAATAGAAATTCCTAAATCCACTGCCTTAAGTAAACGCTTTAGAAAAAGACTCAATTCTCAGTGTCTTCTTCATTGCTCTCAAAACTTGACGCTTCCTGAAAGGAGCAACAATAAAAGCTTCCAACTTTGACATCCTCAGACCTGACCGGCTGAGCCACGTCATTTCCACGCTGGTGGTCAAGTACATGATGCCTCATGACCATGTCACAAATTATACCGGGTCGCTTGCATCTACTGTGATTCCAGAAAGAGAGAAACATAAGCCAAGAAGAAACACAAACTATAAAGAATGATAATGAAGATAATGATCAAGACAACAAATAATTCCTCTAACGAGAACAGGTTTTAAAGGAAGCTTTACGCTAACTAAATGCAGAGGAGTATGCTCTGCCACTGATTTGTATAGTGTAATGTAAGGGACACTTTCAGTGGATTTAGATCTAGAGTGAAAAGGTGCTGGCTCTGTCCTAATCACACCATCTCTGCTTTAAACATGTCTTGTACCTGCGTGGGTCTGTTTCCATTTCTCACTGAAATAATGCTCTAAAATGCTAAAACTATACAATGTAAATTATGTTCACTTTATAAGGGAGTAGTATATTCAGGACATTTTAAATGTGAAGAGAAGAACTTCTACTTCTGGCCAAGATGGTGTAACACAGATTTATGAACCCATGTTAAAAAAAAAAAAAAAAAAAAAAACCCCAAATATATAAAACAATGATTATAAGCCACAGGCCATCAAGATGGACTAAGAGTCAGGAAAACAAAGTAAGCAAGCCTCATGACTGCCCCAGGTTACTGCCTTGAGGAGTTAGGATACAGGAAGGGGGAGCTCAGGAAGAGCCCAGCAGTCTCCCTGGGCTGAAAAGACAGAGCTGAGAGTCTCAGGAAACTAGGGCAGCTAGAATTCACAGGGCAGAGAGAAGTGAGCTACAAAGATTAAAGTTCTTAGAGGCCTCCTCCGATATTCAGCAGAGCGCTGATCTGTACCAGTGTGTTAGGAAACTACTAGAGGCTGGGGAAAGAACCTGCCAAAGGGCCAGAGGCAGGACCTACCCCCACCAGCCTGACGGGAAAATTCACAATCCATGGGGGACCGGAGAAAGCACTCAAGAAGGACTTGCCTGAGTAATGGGGAATAATTTGCTTTAGACAGAGAGCAGCACTCCAAACCCACCAAACAAATCATAAAAGCAACACAGGATTTTCCATCTTTTTCACTTTAGCCATTTTGATGGACGCATATTCACTTCTCACTTGGGAAAACGTGATAACATCATCTGCTAAAGCTGAAGATAAATATATGCAGGAATTCCACTTTTAGTTACACACACAGCAGAAATGCTTATAATGCACACTAAAATTCAAATACCAGATTGCTCACAGCAGAATTATTTATGAAAACCAAACACTAGAAATAATGCAAATGTCTATTGACAGGATGAATGGATGAATAAACTGTGGTCTATTCATTCAACAGAACACTATACAGCAATAAAAATGAACAATGAAAATGAGCAAGCCACAGTCTAATGCAACGATATTGATAAATCTCACAAAAGAAGCCAAACACAAAAGATACATCCTCCATGATTGACTGAATTCATATTAAATTCAAAACAAGGGCAAAATTGAACTATAGTATTTAGAGATTTAAACTTAGGAGGGCAACTACAAAGGAAAGAAACAAAGGAAGTTCCTAAAAGTCAAGTTAGTTGCCTTTGGAAGGGGTAGAATTTTGGGGAGGGAGCACTGGCAACGGTCTTTTGTTCTGTTTCTTGTCTGAGGATGTAGTTACACAGTTATCTAGCTTGTAAAAAGCACTGAGTTACAAATCTGCTTTGTGCACTTTTCTATATGTATATTATATTTCATATATAGTATACAAGTATAAAAAGTTATATAACCCAAACTATTAACTTTTACACAACTTCATGTAAACTGTAAAATAATTATACAAGCATAATGGGAAGACCGGTAAACCCACGAGGTGACGGATCACATGGCGCTGGAATGAAGGTGGGGCCGGTTTAGAGGCTGTGAGAGCCTGTTTCCATAATGAGAGCCAACAGACAGTGCCTATGCCTGAAAATGGAGCATGTCCTTTCAGGATATTAAAATGCATACCAAATAATCAGCTAAGAAAAGGAAAATTACTTGTCCAAGGGATGGGGGAAATTGTAGATAGAAAACTGGTGGCTAATTGTTTACTTGGAAAATCCTGTAGAACTATTCATTGACTCTTTAAATCCTAAAGAGGTTTAAAACTGTATGATTTTAAATCTAAAGAAAAAAAAAACCCCTAAGAAAAAAGAACGCGCTTTCTACCACTTTCTGCGACAGACACAGCTCTCAGCTGGAAGGAAAGTTTTCCAAGTGGAAATGACCCTCCTCCACCCCAACGCGATGGTGAGCTCATTTGTCAGCCTTAAAATGAGTATAAAAGATAATAAAGGAAGAGAAACTCAACCCTTCTTCTTTTATCCCCTAATGAAAAACAAAGCTATCGACAAAGTTAAGACATAATGATTTAAATAGGAAGAAAGGATTTCCACTTGTGGATTACAATGCATGAAGTACTAGCAAATGGCAGCAGAATAGTTAGAGTACAGACATATGAATTTAGAGGTTTCTACATGTAGTTAAACAATAGGTATAACTTTTAAACTCAAGATACACACAATTAAGGCACTAGTGTGTCAAGTTAAGGTGCCCCTAATGCATAAAAATTAGGCCAAAGGGAGTACAATAAAATTATATGAAATATGCTCATTTATCAATTTCTAAATAAATCTGATTTATTTTTAACTGACATCTTAATTATCTATATTTACATCTGGACTATAACAACTTTTCTCTCTTTTAACAATCTGAGACAAACGAAATGCTATGATTATACATTAGCTGCGCCTCCTCAGTTTCTAGAGCTGACATGTCATGTCAATTATGTAATAAGATTTAATTTTACCTTGTTTAATTTGTCCTTGCACTATATTTCTGGAAGTTGGCGGGGAACCCCGTGCCTTAGAAAGGTCTGGGGTGCTTGGTCTAGGTGGCCTTTGAAAAGAAGAAAAAACATGTGTATATATATTCATATTTTCATATTTCCAGAACCATTTAAACAATTACTTTAATTCCAAATGAATTACAAAAGAAACACATACAGAATATTTTCAAGTAACTGTTCCAAAAAAGATGGCGATTTCTTGTTTGTATTGTACCTATTAATATTTTCCATTGCAAATTTTAATATAGTAGATTAAGCAGGAAGAATTTAACATTTACAGTTTATACTTTATACTAGTTTAGGAAGTATTTATGAACACTAACATACTACCAGTGACAGATAAATATCATAATTAATACTTAATTGTTCAATATGATCATGCTGAAATTATAGCTCATCCCATATCGCTGGTCGAAATGAATTCATGGAACGATACATTAAGTTTAAAAGAATTCAGGCCTAAAATCTGAAAAAGGTAGTAAGGCATTAAGAAATCTTGGGCATTAGAGTCAAACTGCCTCATTCTGAATTCTGGCTTGACCACTTATTACTTGTGTTGACCTTGGACAAGTTACTTAACCTCTCTGTGTCCCAGTTTTCTTACCTGTAATAAAATATAATAAAAGTGCCTACCTGAGAGGGTTAAGAGCATGACTGAGACTGTACCTGTGTAGACCTTACAAGAGAGAGCCAGACACAAGGTAAGTGCTACATAAGTATTTGTTAGACTAAAAAAAAAAAATCTTAATATGGTCAACTTGCACTAACGTATAATAAAACCACAGTTTAAAAAGCAGGCTTCATGACTTCTGAAAAACTGAAAAACAGGAAATAGTAACTCAGGTTAAGTATTCAAGAAATATTAAAATAGTACTCTCCTGCACTTAAAAAAAAAGTTTTCTCTTTTCCCACAGAAAAATTGACTATACTTTTCACAAAATTCTGAAAACAATCACTCAACACATATTATTTGTATATATATGGGTCACAATGAAGAGAAGCATTTAACCAAATATGCATTTTGAATTAAACGTTGGTATAAATTTTAAGTGTAGACAATTCTAAGATTATACGCGCTGAAATGCTAGTCTATAATTCATTCATTAAAGCTGAACTATAACCTACTTCCTTATTCCAAATTTGTAAAAAACAGCTAGTCGGTATGTCTGAATATAGAAAAAAACTATATAATTTTATCATGTTTTAAGTCATGCCTATTGTGTTTTAAAGATTTAAAGGGGAAACACTGAGATGACACAAAAATGCTAATGTGGGGAGAACCAAAACAAGGTAATAAACAGGGACAAAAACAAAACGGGTTTCTTTTTTTGTACCGTGAAAATAAAATCAAGCTATCATGGTCACACCTGGTAGGGCCCTTCTTCATATGATCACCAATGAAAGTTGCGTTGGTCATACTCATCAGGGTATTTGCCAAAGATATGACGGACAGCAGATGCTGTGTGGTGACGGCTCGGGACACTCCGTAAGTGCCCCTTCCCACTCCCTCAGTGGCTGGCGGCTTCTTTTCTACTTCTGCTTTCCCATGTGACAGTTTACCAGCAGCCCGATTATACCCAGGAAGCATCAGGGACATGTGGCCTCCTCTCGACAAGAGACCGAAGGACACCGGGCAGTGGGGTTTCAGCATGCCGAGGCGGTCAAGACAAACTTCATCCAGCACTTCATTCAAGCCCCAGGCGTGAAGGCAGGACATGAACAGCTTTGCGGTGTCCATGGTTAGATTATATTCTAATAGGGTCAATGGCTTAGACTTGCTGGCCCGATATTCAGGGTCACTTTCTTCCCTCCTCTGCCTCATTGTCTCCTCATCCTCCTCTTCATCATCAAGGAGATGCTCCTTTATGTTCTCTTTGATAGTCTCTTTCACTTGTTGGAAGAGAACGGCTGCTCGTTTTCCAGTTAGAAAAGAGCCCCCTTTGTCTGCCCGGCCAGATGCTTTCTGCAAATTCTCTGGGGAAATAAGTGCCGTGTTCGGCCTAGAGGCTTCTTCAGTCAGGATAATCAGCTGAATAATCAACGCTTCCACATCAAAGAAAAGCACGTGTACGTCCGGGTCTGTTAGGTTTGTCTTTATTGCTTGAACCATCAGGGAGTTATGAGAATATTTAGGTAAATTTCCCTGCAATAAATATTTTTAAAAGATGGTTATCATTAAAAAGTGTTTAATTTCATACATTCATTAATGAACAAAAAATAGTCAAAGGAATATAAACACTTATTAAGCTGTCCGTTTAAGTACCTGTGTCATTAAAAGTAACTTGCTAACTTTGACAATCATCAGCATGTAAAACAAATGAACTTATACAATCAGAATTTTATGCTGAAATAATTATAACATCGATTCATTTTTAAGAAAGGAGATAACCACTTATTATTAAAGCCAGGAGTGTTTTTAGTCATAGAACAGATTAAAATTTATTTCAATAACATGTAAACTCAATCTTTGAAAATGATCTATTGTTCCACCTGAAAGAGTAATGCATTTATCACAGACTCTAATGCTTTTAAGTTGCTGCACCATCAAATCCTTGCTTTTTTTTTCTTTTTCTTTTTTCTTTTTAGAGAGCGGGGAAAGGAGGAAGAAAAAACGGAGAGAAACATTAATGTGCAAGAGAAACATTAATTGGTTGTCTCTTGCATGCCCCCAACCAGGGACTTGGCCTGCAACCCAGGCACGTTTCCTGCCTGGGAATCGCACCAATGCCCTTTCGTTTTGGGGGATAATGCCCAACCCACTGCGACACACCAGCCGGGGCAAATCCCTCCTTTTTCTTCCTCACCTTCCATCTCTTCTTGTTCTTAGATTCCTTTCCCCCAACAGAGACCATGTTACAGTTTACTCAGATTCTACAAAACAGTGTTATCCTTTGACTGTGTCTCCTCTTCTGTATACTTCCCTCCCCTGTCTACTACCCATTTTAGCCAAATTTTTGGAAAGCAATAGGCTAATCCAATAAAAACTTTTCAGTCCATCTCCTCCTTGAACTCTGCAGTATCTTATATTGTTTTTGGTGAAAGAAAGACAGAGAAAATAGAAATGAAAAACATAAAAAGCCACCTCTTACAGCTTTCCAGAGAAACCTTCCTGGTAAGCCGTGTGATTCTGACCACCCTTCTCTGCCAGCGGCCTTGAAAACACCTCCTTCCTCCCACATTAGAGATTCCTCCCTCCACATATGCAGGCGGCTCCCTAAATCCCATCATCAGCCGGACCAGTACCCTGAAGAAGGTTCAAACCTGTACTTTCAACAGCTTTTACCTGGATGTCCCACAGTACCTCACATTTCACATGTCCTGATGGCCCCCTTCCCACTACACCTGCTGCACCTCTCACAGCACCGGGTGAGGACCACTCCTCTTCCACTCTATCTCCTCTGTCACTAACACCTCATTCGGACCCTATCTTCTCTTCCCTAAACAGCTTTCACTGTCCCCAGTCTCTCCTCATTCCAACCCGATATCCACGAAGCCACGGACTTCTGACACACAAATCTAATCATGTCACTCTCTGCCAAAGAACTGCCTTTATCATAGGTTATTCAGAGAAATAGAAAGTGCAAAATTACTAAAAACTAAATCAAGCCCTGGCTGGTGTGGCCCAGTGGACTGAGTGCTGGCCTGCAAACCAAAAGGTCACCGGTTCAATTCCCAGTCAGGGCACATGCCTGGGTTGTGGGCCAGGTCCCCAGATGGGGGTGTGTGAGAGGCAACTGATCAATATATCTCTCAAACATCAATATTCCTCTCCCTCTCTTTATCCCTCCCACCCCCATCTTTAAAAAATAAGTAAATAGTCTTTAAAAAAACTAAATAAAAATATATCCAATCTCAAGGTGAGAACAAATTTTCAAAATAGCTTAATTTAAAATTCACTACTATAAAAATGGTGAAAGGCAAGTAAGAAATAGTAATAAAAGGTGCCATAAATAGGATAGTGAAGAATTATAATCTATACATATATTAATTAAAATCAATAGGAAAAACAAAAGGGAAAAATATTACAAAGATCAAGGACAATTCACAGCATAAGAAACATAAAATGTCTTATAAATTTAGGTAAAAACTAGCTCAAACTAGCTGTCAAGGAATAACAGTTAAAATAACCACAAGATACCATTTACAAAATCTGCCAACAGTATACACTAAAAAATACTCAGCCAGGAGTACAATGAGAGTCAAGGCCACACACTGCACGTGTGACTTTAAATAGCAGCCTTTTGGCAGAGTAATTTGGCAAAATCTACCATCAGCCCTTAAGGTTGTTTGATCCAGTACATTTATTTCTAGAGCCCTATCCTAAATAGTCAGAAATGCAGACAAGGATTTATGTACAAAGATGTTCAGTGAAACGGTACCCATTATTTTAAATTAAAAACAACTTACATAATCTAACAATAAGAAAACAAATAATTTTAGCATAAACATATAACAATAAATATCATAATCACTACAAATCATGCTTTCTGGGCACACTGAACCACATGGCAAAGTGCCAACATTCCCATTTTAAGTGAGATAAAAATTACACACATGTTGTATGCATGCACACACACAATATGGTTCTGCTTTTATTTCTTTAATGCTTAAGTATATAGATGAATGTACGGGACATAAATAGATGAAATGTTAATATAATTACATTTTATAATGAAATTATAATAGATTTTCATTTTCTTTATATTTATTATATATAATCAATGTATATTATTTTTGTAATTAGAAAGTAAAGCTGCAGGATAAAATGCAAAGTCCTTCAGCATAACTTTCAAGGCCTGTTGCAGTTTGATACCAAATGCTTCTCCAGCTTTAGCAAACAGGCTCTAGTACCACAACCACGGTTCCTCACCTGTTAACTCCTTTATTTATTCCTTTGCCTAAAATATTCCTCTTTGCTCTACCCCAGTTCCTTCTCTTCTGTCAAGAGAGACGCTAGTTTTCTCCAGGAAGTTAGTCCACAATGAATCCAGTCCCCATAACATTTTGTATCTATTATATACCACAAATTTGTATGTCTGGACTAATTTACTAATTTACATGATTAGTTACTTTATGTCACTTACATATTCATGCACGGTATGGATACTAACTATGTGATACATTGTGTACCCTTAAGCTTATCAGAGTACTTGGCAGAATGAACAAAGAACATTATAAAAGAGCTTTTATAAAATTATTTTAAATTGTCATCAATTCCTCTATTATAAAATTAGAACAAAACCCCCTTAATTGATCTCTTTCTGTATCAATTCTCCTCCCATCTGTGCTTCTTTCTAGTTTAAGAGGTTTCCATTGCATGTTGTAACCCAAGGATAAAATCTTCACAAAGACTTCTTTACAAAGCAGAAAACATCCTCCAAAATGCATTGCTGCCTCTTCCTCCAAACCCAGCTCTAACCACACACAGCTCCTGTATCTTCCACTGCAACCAAATTCAACCACTTTCCAGAAGCACACAGCTCCAGGAATTTGAACATTCTCATCGCTCACGCTCCTTTCTCAACCTCCCCACCGCCCCTCAAGTCATCCCTCTACCCATCCTTCAAGAAGGAGCTCAGGTGGCTGCTCTTCCAAAAATTGTTTCCAGAATTGTCACTAATTCTGCCTCCTCTGTTTAAGTCTCTACTCTGAATTGAATGAATGATGTTTAAAGGAAGGTAGAAAATAAATATTATTTCTATACAACAGCTAAAGAAGTTTAGGTGCATAACTAATAGATAAATTCATACTACATAAAACACGACGTAAAAAAAAGTCAAGACTTTCCGTATTTAATTCACTCATACCGCATTCACCTATGTTGGTGCAAGATACTGGAGATACAAAAATAAATAAATAAGATGGTTTTTCTAGTCATGGAACTCAAAAACTGACAGTTAACTAGTGACATGTAAAGACGTGATTACAATGTGGTGTACATGGTGCTATATAAATAAAGGAAGGCTGCAAGGCAGTAAAAGGGACACAGCGTGGAAAGTACCAACTCCACTTTGGGTGACCAGGGAGATCCTCACAGAAGGGCGACCTGGAGCCTTGAAGGGCACTCCTACGGGGCGTGAAAAAGGATGAGTCAGGAAACGTCCCGGGATGGATGCCGAGGAAACCGCAGCGACCAAGGTGAAGAGGCAACAGATGTTCTTTGAGGGCATGGAGGTCCACGCCGAGCGTCAGAGCGTCATCCTGAAGACTTGGGGGCCATGAAGGCAGTGCTTCCCTCAGAAGTCACCGGAGGTGCTTCTTACAATACAGGCTCCTGGGCCTGCCCTCTGACCTGAACCTGTACCTCTGGGAGGGGGTCTGTCTCATGATTACCCCAGGTGACTTTATGCAGTGACGTTTGAGACCTACAGTCTGAAGACTTTAATGAGGTGGCTAATGTGATCAAATTTAACATTATAAGCGTTTATCCACCAGCAATGTTGGCTGAAAAGAAGTGATATCAGAGTCATGAATATGAATTGGGGAGCAACAGAAGCCTTCCAGATGAGGGAAGATAAAAGTATGCAATCGTACTGAAAGTGCAGAAGACAGGAGAAATGGAAGAATAAAGGCATACATTACCTTTTTATTTCTCACAGCATTGTGCTTTTTATTTGCTTTCTCAGACACTGACTATGAAATGTCAGACACCATACATTTAATGCTTTGTCCCTACTGACACTGGTTTGATCGAATGATATATAAAAATATATATTTGTAACTGTTATAGCTAATATAATATTGATATGAAAATTGTAATTAACAATGCCACCACATGCTACGCTGCTGTTAGGCATCGGAGTCGGTTAGGTCACAAGAACAGGTAAAATATCATCTTCTATCAATGTTAGGTAGACAGACACTAAGTGTGAGGGGATAGAATAACACTATTAGATTTAAAAAAAGAGCCCAGAGTGCTTTAGTAGACATTGTCTTTCCAGTAAAGATCTACAAAGTTTTTTTTTTAGGAGAAAGAGGGACCATTTCCACCAAAGAATATAAAATCAAACAAGTTAGCTAAAGAAAGTGTTGAAGCAGCAAGAGTGGCGTGAAGAGAAAGAGAAGGTGGGGGGAAGACACCAGGTTGGCTTTTGAGCCCTGCTAGGGCGTGCGCCGCACGCGCGCCCCTTCCAGCACCTTCAG